AGTTGCTGCAGTGAGAGAGGGCTGGATTCTTCTTTGAATGACGTCCCCGTCAGTGCTCCACTCTGAGTTCTGAATCCCTCCCGACACACTACCTTCAAAAAAACAAAACAAAAAACCCCCACCTTTTTCTTCAAAAAAGCCACTTTTTTTTAAGAAAAAGGTTTGGGATTGGTTTTTTTGGGGGAGGGAGGGGTTGGTTGGTTGGTTGGGTTTTTTGAAGGTAGAGGGTTGGGAGGGATTCAAAACTCAGAGTGGAGGACACATCTCGAAGAACTCCCATTACTGCACAGGGTGAATAACTCTTTTTGTTCTCTCTCCTCAGGGTATACTGCATATTGAATCCCTCATCTCCTGCCCCACCCCAGAACAATAATTTAAATGAGGCATATACATTTTCTTTCATTTTATTTTCCAAAAAAACAAAAATTAATTGAGTTAAGGACCTGAGCAACTCTGGGTAAATCTTCTCTTTAATTTATATTAGGTCTTCGCAGACAGCTTTTTTAACAAAAAGTTGTGGATAAATTACCCCCCAAAATGTAGTTTGGTCTGGAAAAGAGGACCAACAACCTCTGTCTGTAGCATAATAAAAGAAAAAATCTTTAAGATATTGTTTCAGTGGTATCTCACATCAATCAGGGTAAAATATATAGCAGAACTGAATGTGGATAAAAGTTGAAGAACTTGTTTTGAAATAAAACATGTTATGCATATATGGTAGATATGTCTGGATATTGGAAGGTACTGGGGTGCAGTGATCCCTTAGTAATCCTCAGGCTTCCTAGTGGATGTTGGAAGTGTAAGAGGAAATGAAGAATTAATCTCTCAGGGTATGTCTACACTACCACCCTAGTTCGAACTAGGGTGGTAGTGTAGACATACCCTGATATAGTATGTCTACACTTGCACCCTCTTTCGAGAGAGGGATGCAAATGAAGACATTTGAAATTGCAAATGAAGCTGGGATTTAACTACTTCACCGTTACTCCTCGTGAAACGTCCTCGTGAAACTCCTCGAGGAGTAACGGTAGTTCGGACTAGGAAGCCTAGTCCGAACTACCTAGTCCGTGCCGTGTGTAGCCGCGCGGCACGGAGTCCGCACTAGCGGACATTTAAAAATGGCGGCGCCCGGCTTTATGCAAATGAAGCCCGGGAAATTCAAATCCCGGGCTTCATTTGCAACTCCGGTTGCCTACATTACCACCCTAGTTCGAACTAGGGTGGTAGTGTAGACATACCCTCATATACTAGTAGCTGCTTAGCTATTGGTAGCCTCTTGCTAGAAAAAAATAACCCAACTATAAATGAATGATTCAATAATATGGGAGGTTTTGCTAATGGAAAATTTAACACACCAATTATGTAACACACAGGACAGATAGATATTTAGGTATTTATATTTAGATTTGTTTTTCATTACACAAAGTACACATTTGCAAAAAAGCCCCAGCACACCTGTCCAGTTTTTGAATATTTATATTTGTTAGATGTGTATGGTCTTAAATGTTTATATTGATAAGTCAGTTAATAGATTATTTTGAAATTGGAAGCATCTACACAGAACTTATTTCAAAACATAGTACTCTTCCTCCGACTTCCCTGACTCCTCGTACAATGAGGGTTATAGGAGTTGGAGTAAGAAATCCTCCAGGTGGACTTGACAGTATTTCTACATTATTTCAGAATAACTGCTTTTGTGTAGATGTGGACTAAGTTATTTCAAAATAATGTTGCTGTGTAGATGTACCCCTAGAGTTTACAAATTTAAGGTGCCACTGAACTCCTCCTTGTTTTTCCAGATACAGACTAACAGCGGTACCCCTCTGAGACTTGTCGTAATGTTTGTTTTGAATCTGATATTTATATGACAAGGATCTGTAAAAATGTTAAAACTTCCCAAATAAATGGATAGTCTTGAAAAGAAAGGAAGAAATACAGTGTAATGACTGAACCCAGGAGTTCAATTTATTTAGCTTAACAAGGAGAAAGTTAAGGGATGATTTAATTTAAGTCTACAAGTACCTATATGGGGGACAAATAATAATGGGCTCTTCAGTCTTGCAGAGAAAAATAAACACAATCCATTACTGGATGAAAAAGAAGCTAGACAAATTCAGGCTGGAAATAACGTCACACATGCTTAACAATGAGAGTAATTGACCACTGGAGTAACTTACCACAGATGATCATGATGAATTCTCCATCCCTGGTCATTTTAAAATCAAGATTGGCGCTTTTTTCTAAAATATATATTCTGGAAATTATATGGGGGAAATTCTATATCCTGTGTTTAACAAAAAGTCAGTCTAGATCAGTGGCTCTCAACCTTTCCAGACCACTGTACCCCTTTCAGGATTTGAATTTTCCTGTGTACCTTCAAGTTTCACCTCAATAACTACTCGCTTACAAAAATCAGCCATAAAAATACAAAAGTGTCCCAGTGCATTATTACTGAAAAAAATGCTGATTTTATTTTCCACATATTTATAAAATAAATCATTGTATACTATATAAATACTGTACTTACATTTCAGTGTATAGTATAAAGAGCAGTATAAACAAGTCTATCAAATTTTAATTTGTGCAACTTTGCTAGTGGTTTTATATAGCCTAGTGTAAAAGTGGACAAATATCTAGATGTGCACTCTGGAGGACCTCTGAGTACCCTTAGGGATACAGGTATCCCTGGGTAAGAACCACTGGACAAGGTGATCACAGTGGCCCCTTCTGGCCTTGGAAGCTATAATTGTTCTGCCTGACATGTAGCTAAAGAACCGGGATTCTAAACAAAACATACTACCAGAGTTACATAATTTCCAACAATGTGCCCTTGCGTTGTTTATGGAACGAAATGTTTATGCATGGAATGTTTTTAAAGTGTGCTGAAAGCCACTGCTGAACTGTCATGTGCCAAGACGTGTTTTGCGGCACCTTCCTAGACATTATGCAACGCATTAGCTACTTACCTGGAAGTGAGGTTTGAATTGTATCCCTCCCCCTTCTCAGCAGGGTTGATTTCTTTGCTGGGAGTTCCGATCCACGCATTAGATAAGCGCATCCTAACAATCAGTGGGGGGGGGGAGGCCCTCTACATCACAGGCAACTGTAAAGCTCACGCCCCAGTGGGGATGCGTTACAGCTTAGCTCAGTGTTAAGTGGGGAATATTTATACATTTCCCTTGCCGCTCTTCAGGCCGCTCAAAGGTTTATGTCCAGACCTTCCTCTTAGTCTCCCTAGCAACCCCAATTCGCGGCGACCCTTCCTTCCCCCGCCCGGGAGCACTGCGAGTCTGGGGCCGGTGCACGAGACCCTGGCCAACCCGCTGCTCTAGTCTGGAGTCCAGAGTGCACCTGGGCGAGCTAAAGCTACCCCCGCGCCCTGTCCACAGCGGGGTTTTACAACCCGCTAGCAAGCACGGGATCGCTAACTGCGTCTCACTGCTCCGCAACGCGCCTGGAGGGCAGCGAGCGCCCGGACTCCGCACTTCTAGCCCGGTGTGTTCCCCGCCGCTGGGCTGCCCCGCAGAGAGCTAGTAGCTGCCCGGTTTCGCCCCACGCCTCGCCTCACTGCTGCGCCCGCCCACCTGCGAGGGAAGGGCCCCGCCACCGAGAAGCCGCACGCCGCTCCACGACAGCCAGGGACAAACGTGCGCGTGCCCCTTTCACCCCGCCCTTACTGCCGGTTGGTGTTGCCGCCCCGCCTGGTCCTTGAGGAAGGGCGGTAACGAGGCCGGGTGGAAACGTGGGAGAACTCACAAGGCGAAGGCAGGCGCTAGCGCCCTTGCTCCGCGCGCACATGGCCAGGCGCGCTGAGGGAACTTGTTACCACTGCACTTTGCGTAACTTTTCTCAGCTCCCGCCGTAACCGACGGCAAAGGACTCAGATTACAACACATTAACCCCCTTTGCCGTTCTCCTTGACCCCGGGCCGCTAACGCACCGAGGAGCGGGCAGACTGCGGCTTGATCATGTGTGTGGCACGTCGTCCCCCGGACTTGGGCTAAACTTGTGCATTCAGCCTTCGCCTGTCTCCTCGGGAGTCAGTCCCGTCTGGTCTGATTTAGACGTGACAATGGTTTATGTCTCCCCCAAAGGGCATGGCTATTGGAACACACTCATTTCGATCACTTCCCTGATTGCTGAGCGAGGCTGGGGGCAGAGCTGGCTGGCGGCGTTTGTTGATCACACACCGTCCTCCCTTGACAATGAAAGGAAACGAAATGTTCCCTGGTTACAGTAAAGGGCAGCGGAGCCGTTTCTCCTTGTCAGTTATTTGCGTGCTTCGCCACTGCACGCTGTGGTGCTGCTGTGGTGTCGGCGGGGACGGGCTGAACTCTCCAGCGTTTTAAGCACCCTGCCTCTCACAGTGCGTGGCCCGAGCCAGCGGGTGGCGAAGAGGCAGAGGGCGCCTCCGCGCTCAGTGTAAGGTGCAGGGGGCCCTGCCGCAAGGCTGGACCTGCTCAAGAAGTTTCTCCTCTCCCCGGAGCTTTCCTCTCGCACCCGCACCGGCCCCGCACGAGCCACTCCGCTCTCTGCCCTGCGGGGATCATGGCCCATGTGAGCGGGGCCCTTTCTGCAACGCTACATCGGCGCGAGCGCGCTTCCTCGGAACCGTGGCCCAGCCTCAGCATGTGGACTGCCACCCTGCTGCCCCTCGCCCTAGCCTGCGGGCGGCTCAGCCAGGCGCGCACGAGGCGGTGCCCGGACCGCTGCGCTAGCCGGATCGATGCCCCAGGCGCGCCGCTCTTCTCCTTCTCCTGCCGCGCATCTTGCGCGCCTCTGGGCGCGGCCCCCGGAGCCCTCGGCTGGCACAGCCCGGCACCCCGATCGCAGCTGCTCTGGTGCTTATTCATCAGGGAGGTGGAGGCGATTCCATCGGGGGGCCGCTGAGCTATGGCCCCAGTCCCGGACACGCCAGGCCCCTGTAGCCACCGCTGGTGCCCAAAGAAAGGACCCAAACGGCAGCTTGGAGGGTGGCCGGGGCACTGCGCTAGTCTTACCCGATCAGAGGAGAGGACCTGGCGGTAACGCTCTTCTTCCGGAGGCAGGGCAGGGAACTGTTGCATCGAGAACATGCTCTGGCTGATGTTTAGTCTTCTCAACCTTCCTCCCCCTTCTGCATCTCACACGGACGTGCCACGACTGCCTCCCTAATACAGTACACAGCCTGGCTCGGGGGCGGAAGGGGGCGCCGCAATTTGTCTGCTCGGCAGACCCCCCGCACCTTCTCCCACCCAATAATACTCAACCTCAGTGAGAAAGCCACCTCCTCCTCACCCCTTTTGTTCTCAAGGACTTGGGTCCCCGAGCACAGGCTGAGAACCAGCCGGCTTGTTCAGTTCTCCCCAGTTCAGCACAGTGGGAGGAAAGGTGCACGGGGCAGAAAACTAAGACAGGGAGATTAAAAGTCAGCCCCAGCGTTTGCCCCTGGGGCTAATGATGTCCCACCTCGCTGTAATACTGCAAAGGGATCCAGGCTAAGCCCAGCCATCCCTAGCAACTCACTAGAGCTAAGGGACAGGGACTGCTCGCGGAGCTCACGCCACTGGGGTAGGTGAATTGCCGTCACTTTCAGACCTGCCCTCACCTTAACCCCACTGACCACAGTGCAAGCACTGCCTGGCTCCGCCACCTTATGTTCCCTGCCCATACAGGCTCATATCGCCCTACCGCGGTCGGCGGCTAGGTGGCAGGTCGCCTTTTCTGAGCGAGCCCGGTGCACAGGGCGCCCAGCAGAGCTAGACCGTCCCCGACTGGTCACACAGGAAAGGAAAGGTTAGGATCTATACCTCCTCCGGGCAGGTTCCGTTATTCCTTTGACTCAGGCAGTCTGGAACAGGAAATCAGTTCTAGCTGCAAAGACGATTTGGAGGCTGGATTTTAAAAACGTGTTTCATAATGGCCCTCGCTGTGCTAGTTTCATACAGCAAGGATTACAAAGCTCTTCTTCAAGCAAGGGCTTTTATTCCTTTGTACAAGGAAACGTGAAAGGTGTGTGTGTGGGGGGGGGAAGAGACATAATTTATGACCACGTTTGATAAGATTGAATGCTGTGATGTTTCTACAGGCTTTTGGACAAAGTACTCGCTGTCGCTGCACAGCCTCCTGCGGGACTAGAGAATGGGAACGAAGCACGAAGGAAGTGCTAATTAAACACCATTTACATTCCCCACCGAAGGTGGAGGAGGTTCTCTTTGCACGTTTAAATGAATGAATTGTCCGTGGAGCCCACGAACTACGTGAAATTGAGGTTATATTTCTACTGAGAGCTGGGTTATACATTGCCAATATAAAAGGAGAGCCCATCCTGAGCACTGAAAGAAGAAAGCTGGAAGGAAGAGACTCCTGGGAGATTGGATTTGTTTCAATGAGCCCTGCGAGATTTCTAATTCCAAATTATTCAGGGGCCTGGTTCTTCTCTTCCCTTTATTTCCCAGGGGGTAAAAGTCCCCAAGGAAAACGAATGGAAAATGGGGAAGGGAAGAAGAGCAAATCACAGATGATGATTTCATATACACTTAGCTTGTCAGCCTATAGTCTAAACTCCAAGGCCTAAGACCTATGCAAAACAAAGAGTGATACAGTGGGATAGCTCAGTTAGTCTGTAACTGGAAAAACAAGGAATAGTCTAGCAGCACCTTAAAGACTAACAAACGTAGCTCTCATCTGAAGGAGTGAGCTGTACCCACAGAAAGCTCATAATACCATCTACATGTTTTCTTAGTCTTTATCTTTAAAAACAACTAATCGTCTAGGAGCACCTTAGTGAGACAATTTGGCTACGTCTACACTAGCATGATTTTCCAGAAATGCTTTTAATGGAAAAGTTTTCCTACATTGTAGATGCTACCAGAATATAAAAGGATTCAGTACTTGTCCAAGAACTGCAGTTACCCTTCACTTAGAATGGACACCATCTTGTGTAAGTAGATTATGAAAATATGCTTTAGCAAGCAGAGTTGAAACATAAGTTTCTACTATTGTTCTTTAAAATATGCTTGTTAGCATTACTTGAAATGTCACTGTAGTCATCATACGAAAAAAGTGTGAATCTAGCTCTAACAACAAGATACCCAGACTTGAACCGTACTTCCGTCACTGACTTCCACTCTGGTTTTCATTCCAGACACTATCCCCTATTTTAGGATGAGAGAGACACCACCAATATACTCAAACAACAGGCACATATTAGTCTTCTGCCTACCCATACTCTTTGCCAGCTTTCCTGTGTCATCATCTCCTGCTTTAGAGGTCATGTCTAATTTACCTGAAAGCTTCGAGGACAGGGACTGGCCATTTTGTCTCTTAAATGCAGTGAACACCAAACAGCACATACATATTACCAATCCAAATGCTATGGTACAGTGGTGGGCAACCTGCAGGCCACATGAAGTCCATTAGGGTTCTGCATGTGGTCTGAGACACCATTTTGTTTACCATTGTACATTAGCAGGGTTGCCAAATTCTGCTAGTTTCCTTCCATGTAGTTTTTTGCCTAGTGATATTACTAGTGATACATGCCTAAAGCAAAGATATGTGAAGTGAGTTGTGTGCTAATTGTACACATTGACTGTGAGAGTCCTGCACTCACTCTGCATCCAATCAAAGCGCTGCTACAATTAAATCAGCACACCCTACAAATGCTACGTATGTAATAGCGCAGTTTTGCAAACTGCGTTCTCAGGAGACTTAGTTACCACAATCTTGCAGCCTGCTGAGATGATGAAGGGTTCCTCGTGCAGCACACTCACTAGACTAGGTTGCCCATTGCTGCTATGGGCCCAGCCTGCATTTTTTACTTGTTCTTCTAGAGGGATTTTGACCATTAAAAGAACAGGATGCTGCTACTTCACAAATAGCAGCAAATGTGCTGAATAAGAATCAGAGAAGCAAATAGTTCAAAAACAAAAACAAAAAAAACCTTAGCAACTGCTGAAAGTTTAACAGGCGACAGAGGAGGAATTAGCTTTTACATAGCAATTTACTTGCTAATACTTTGTAAAGTATTTTAACTATTTTTCTCAAATGTTTAAGCTCTGAAGAGGGTGAATAGTGTCATTAACCACATAGATAGGGAACCTGAAGCTGAGAAATTTAGTGTATTGCTCAAAGCTCAGCAGTGGAGCTAGAATTAGAATTTAGGATCTCCTGCCACCTCACCCTCTACACATTCTATGCTGTCATTCTAGCTACTGAAGCCCACTGTGAAAACTAGCTACATTTTTATAGTAACATATCAGAGCATGGGTAAACTTAAATGAAGTTCTGTTTCTAGCTGAGTATTTTACTGAGTATGTACAGCTACATTCCAGAAATTAATATATTGAAGTTGTCTACTATTTTTAACATTTCCCCTCCCACCATTGTTTTGCTTATTAGTAGTTTCCAGATCAGAACATACCTTGCCATTCAGTTGATCTTCACACTAAAAAAATACCTACACAATTGCTGATGTCAGCAGAAAGCAGTACTTATTTTCCACTAGACTGATCAGTATATATTTATATTATACTGTACTTTTTAACATGTTACTGAGGATAGTGAAACAAATTAATATAGAATTTATAACAAATTTGATTTACTGATGTAGTCAAACTCTTTGATTTTGTCTCAGCAATATACCTTAGCTTTCATTGCCTAGCAGAGTGCAGATAGTTGGAGAATTAGGTTAAATGTCTATTTATAGAAAACAACTGGTTACTTTGGTTGAAGCCAAAAGAATATACTTGCATTTCAATGCAGCTCAAGGGAAAAATGTCTAAAGTAGTTGTGCATGAAAAAATATTTGAGGAAGAGATTGGAGTAAACAAAGATTTAAAATAAGGGGGAAAATGGGGCTATATTATGTCTGGTCTCTGCTGGTTTTTCTTAACCCATGTGTCATGGAATAGCAGCCATACAATAAGTGTAATTCTTAGGCTCTCTGGTACATAAAAATAATTAAGAGTATCAGCCACCCCAAAAGTGATAGGAATTACTTGCCTCCTCAGCACCCAACAGACTTATCTGGAAGATAGGAGCGAGCGCGTGCGCACACAAAAAAGAGCACGAGCTGCACGTGACCAGGCATCATGGCTGTTGAAGCTTCTATTGGGACAGAACAGGTCTATAAATCATCCAATATAGGGCAGTGTTTTAAAGCTTTGTATAAACAATGAGTTCGAATGGGTCTGTGTAGTGAGATTTTACCTCTTGACTATTTAAAGCAGGAGTGATGGGATGTCAGTGACACCAATATTGCAATCCCATACAACACTTTTGGGAACCATATTTTGGAATGGTTCATGTATGCTGTAGCTTTGGAACTAAGTGCAACTCTAAGGAAGAGAGTTATCACAGCTACAAAAGGAACTAAAATGGTGCATCAGTGACTAATGTTGACTGTCTCACATTGCAAACACCACCAGAGAGGTCTCACCCCTTAGGGAAGCTTGCATATTCTGAGTTTTCAAAGACCAAACAGAGAAAGGACATCTGGTTTTTAAAAAATTGGGTTTAAACTGACTCAGGGCTTTCCTTCTGATTCAGCAAATGGACCTTTTGTCCCTGGGAAGTCCCCAGCCCTTTTAGAAGGTTCCTACTAGGACCCTATAAGACTGATGCGTGATTCTGATAAACTTTTAGCATGTATATAGAACTTTGTGTTTTTCTGTAATGCTTTTTATATTACTAAATATGCTTGCTTAGAGCTGTTTGACCATTGGAATCTATTTCTAATACATTGTTCATAGCCCTTGGAGATAGAGCAATGCATGGGCACTGGCCATTAGGCAGATTAGCTTGCAATGTAAGGCAATGAGAAGCAGGAAGCTGTGCAGTCTGAAAACTCCTTGTCAGAAGAAAGTGGAACATGAGTCCCTCCCAAGAGAGCAGTGATAGTTGGAGTTGGGAGATCTAACTGCTTACTACAGGGGCAGAAGAGGACATACAGGTGCAGTTACCATAAAACTGTATTTAAGTTGGACGTATATTTGAATAAAATGCATGGATAAGGAAAACAGTGCTGACATACCAGCATACTGGTCACAGTGAATATCATTATTAATTCCCTCCCCACCATGTCCCCTCTTTCAGCTCTCATTCTTTTGCCAGCACATTTTAATGAAATGTCATGAGTAAATAATGCCATATTCAAGTTGCCTGCTTTGGTGCTCAAGCTCCCTTCCTCTTGTTTCCCCCTTTTCATCCTTTTAGTTATTGTTTAAGAAAACCCATCAAATTAACTTTATTGACAGTGATTGGATCTTATATATGCTTGAGATGGAAAAGACCTATTAGGTCATCTTGTATAAATTTGCAACAGTACAGCATTGTCCTCTAGTCTACAGTAGACTGGTCAAAGCCCTGAATACAATTTTAAATGACAAAAAAATGCAGCTACCACCACTACTTCACTTGGGAGAGTAATTACACAGTTTAATAGATCTCACAGTATAAATTTATTCTAAGGGCGGGAGGGGGAAGAAGAGAGAAAGAAATCTCTCTTGTTCCTCCTAGATATAGCCTGGGAGGAAAGGAAAAGATAAAAATCAGGGACATAACCATCAAAAAGGGGAATTAGGGAATGAACAGAGTTTTTCCATTTTGATCTATAGCAAAGTTTACTGTTTAGGTATTGTTTTGCTCTTTTGTCATATTACTACTGAGAAAAAATTAATGATCTAAATTTTATTCTACATGTTTGTCTGACTTGATTTTTACAGAAGACTGTACAGTACAGCACGGCACTTCTGATAAATTACAAATCGCCAGCTGCCAAGGAGCTTACAATTTAAGGTCCTAATCTCCAAGATCCTGAGTGACTCCAGCAAGGTAACAAAACCTTTAATTCTCATTAATGCTAGTGTAGCCAAGGTTGCTTAGCTCCTTGCAGAAGGTATTCAGATTTGGAAGATGCTTCGTATTTAAATATATAGCTAAAAATACTGTATTTTAAGACTGACAAATAAACATGCCAATCAAACACTTCCCTTCTACTACTTTGTGTCACTTGTGCTGATAAAGACCTCTCCATATTTATCTTCTTTGCAAAATAAAATTCTTAATATCTGAATGTTTGTTCATTAAGTTGTAATGTAGTAGGTACATAGTATGGTTGCAAATATTTAGCTTCAATATTTTCCCAATACAAGTTAAACAATTTAGGTATTGAATAAACCATCGTAAGTGTGTTAGCTGCATGTTATACTTCCCAACACTTTGTTGCATCCATAAACAGACTAGCCTACTCTTCCATCATTAAAATGTAAGGAATGAAATGTATAAGATCACATAAGTGGAAGAAAAGTTAGTAATCTGTTACATTACAGATGCAGGTTTTTTAACTTGCGTAACATTCCTTGATGCCAGGAGTCATGAATATTTGGTTTAGCAAGCACTGCTTGTAGTAGACATACCAACTTTAGGGAGAATAAAGTACTAAGAATGTTTTTTTGGGGTTGAACTGTATTCCATTATTTTTTATATTTTGTCCATTTTTAGTTCTATCTTTCTGTCATACAAATAGATCAGGAGAGAATTAGTCCCTTATATACAAAAAAAGAATTTAGAACAGCAATGTGCTTTCCTACCAAATATGATTAAGAAAAACAAATATTCAACATGATCAATGAAGTAGCTAGTACTTCCCTCCGATATTGTACATCAAGTTGCTACAAAATACTTAAAGCAATCCATACAAAACTTCTGATGCAAGAGCAGGTCATATGGTTTCCTCTATTTGGAGAGATGAATTCTTTCACTTTTGGAAACATTAGTAGAGCTAAGCAGGCAGATTCTTTATTTAAACAAATAAATTGTAAAGTAACAGCCAATACTGTCGTAAAAAATGAGTTAATTTCCAGTACAATGAGAAATTATTCAAAGCCCTGATCATATTGACATCACGTCTGCTTCAAACAGATCCATAACATAATATTGGACCATGAAACAGACTATCTTCATATGTCTGTTTAAGGTAAATCGCCACCTCTTCTCACCTCTGTCTGCGTCAACAGGTAGATTTGGCACACATGTTCACAAAAAAAATACTGTTTGCTCTCTGGGCTGAAGGACAAAGTTCACATTTATGTTATGGATTTGGAATAAGACTTTACTCATTACTGAAGGAATCTATGAAAGAAGAAAAACCTGCGTGTTTTTCCCTTATACTGTAAAGGAAATTTGTTTAAAAAAAAACCAAAAAAACAAAAAAAACAGGTGTTACAAGACAGCAAAGCTTTGAGATCCCATTCGTGCCTAGTGCATTTTTCAAATCCTTATGTAATAATTGATAACTCATAATATACATAGATATTTCTGAACAGTTTTTAAAATAGTCAAACTAAAATTAGCAATACCATTTAAAAAAACCTATAAAAACCATAATCCCATTGTAACTGACCACCAATTAGTTTATTTTTCAATTTAGGTGGTAAAAAAAGAACCAATCATCTTTACTTTAAAAAAAAAAAATCGAAATCTGGAAACGGCAACATTCTGCAACTTTCGATGACAAAATAGTTCTCCTGCTGTTAAACCAGAATTACAAGAAGGTATAAACTGCTTTGCAATATTTCACATGGAGCACCTTTAATAATATGGTCACATTCATCCTATGAAAAGACCAACCTGTGGCTTTAACTCATAATTCAGGCAAGTGATCTAACTGCCTTCAACAAGACTACTGGTCTATTTAAGAGTCTGGATTACAGAAGGCAGGCCCTTGTTTTGTTTTCACAAAACATTTTTGGTCATCTTTTGGAAAAATTTAAAATCAATATGATTTTTTTACTAAAGTATCATCATGGCAAAAAGTTAGCACAATTCTAGAAATTCATTTTTTCCATTAATATCTATTCCCTTATTTGAGATAACACTACTTCCCCTATAACTTTCAATACGGGTCAAATTTTAGGCATTATAGGTTAACAACATCCTTTAATATTTAAAAAAATGTCAGGGAAAGCTCATCTAGACTATTAAATATTTTAAATACAACTACCAAGAATCATCAAGATAACTTTACAAGAACACATACTCTTGAATGTTTGAGTAAATTCAGTTAACAGTTTGTACTGCTGTACGAGTAGTTAAATATTCAAACATGAACATTTAACTTGATTGACATGCAGGAGGCTTGCCTTCAATTTCACACTGCAATGTGCCTTTCTGCTTTGGGCAAAAGTGCCAATACACTATCAAGCAACGCACGAGACCAGCACAAGTCTGCAATTCCATTAGGCTTTTACTTTTCCCCCCCCTCTTTCTTTTTTGGAGGCACAAAAAAAAATTCAGGATTTGAACAGTAACATCAAACCCACTGCACTATCTGCAACTGAACAAATAAAGAAAATAATTTTTGTGAAGAAAGCTGACATTTCCCCATAACATCTTAAGGATTTTGCACAGACTTATAACCTGTGGATATGGAATGCCTAAGTCTTCTAGACCATTTGAAGTTCCTTATCAATAAATTGATAATGATAAAAGTTGCTGAAGGATGGATCTATTTTGTTTTGTATGAATTATGATTTATCTAAATCAAAGAATAAAAATAAAAAAGTACAAGACAATCTGCTATCCTAGGCAACACTTCAGTGTGCTGCCTTTACACCACTGAGTTGTGGCCTGGTGCCACCCCTTCACCATTACAGAGGAGGCCAGGCCAAATCTGAAAAAATGGTATTCTAATCTAGGGTCATACCACCACTCAACAACGCAGTACAACTGCGTAAAAAAACCCAAAAACATGCTTAACATTGCAAAGTAGAGTTAATGAGAAATAATACAATATCTTATAACAGCTGATGAAACTGGTCAGAATAAACTGCAATATTACATGCACTATACAGCTTTAAATTACTCTATTTTGAATTAATCTTTTTGTGTTAGCTAAAATTTAAACGCTTCTCATTCTTTTTGTTTTTCCCCCATGACAACAATTATTTTGTTAGGAGAAAACTGTACAATTGAACTATAAGCATAAAGTTCTTTTATATACAGACTAACGTTCTAGTTGTAAGAGCTATGTAAAGACCAACTGATGTATATTACAAAAGATCAAAGTTATTTCAGTTGTTGTAAGCCACCAGCCATGCAAGCATCACAACAGCAACTCCACATACTGGCAGCATGATAAAATTCTTATACTTTTGCCACATTGATTGTTCAACTTCTATTTCATCCTTTCTTCTCTTGTTTTTTCGTCGTCCTTTTAACCGGTTCTCAAAGGCTTCTAGTTCAGCCTAGGTAGAACAGAAAATGAATAGGTAACATGTTTTCAGGATTAAAAACTTGGAAATAATAATTTTAAATGTCAATTTATGATGATCAGTTAATGGCTTATGAAACAGATCTATTGTAGGTGGGGTAATAGTACTACCTATTATTCAGACTGCCCCAAACTTCCCCTTTTAAGACTATTTCCAGTTGCTTGTGATATAGCTACATTTTAACCACTGGGGCTGAACTGTCAGATGTCTTCCTCATTGATTTTTTTTTCAGAGGGAGAGGAGAATTTAAGCCAAAACCATTCAGCCATTTCATGGAACACAGGTAAGGAAAAATGCACAACCCTCCCATCACTCTTTTGCAGTGACTCCCTGAAACTTTCATCTCCTTATTCTAAGACCTGTGTCACCCTTTCCTTCTTCAGCAAATGCTGAGGCTCTGTATACTCTCCATGTCCCTCCCCCCTACACCATTGTCCCCCATTTCCTTTCCATGCCAGGGGGTAGGAGTGCTCCCTTATTCTTCCCATGCCCTCATCTCCTCCCTTACTGGGAATCTATGTTATCCCCACAACTTGTCAGAGTTTCATGCGACTCCCATTGCCCTAATGCCAGGATCCCAGTTCCCATCCCTCCCTGCACACTTGCCAGTTCCCTCGTTCTCCTGCACCTGGGAGATGGATCATTCATAAAACGGAATGTATTGGGATGATGGGCAGAAGTGGGAGTGTACAATATGGGATGTATCATTCATGACAGGAAGTACTGTTCAATCCCTCTGAATCATCTGGCATTGGCCACTGGTTGAACACAGGATGATGGGCTTAAATGGACCATTGGTCTGACCCAGTATGGCCCTTGTTACATTTCATAATAGATTAATCAGAGAAGGGTGTCCATGCATGGGGTTCATTAGGAATAGCTGTTCTGGAATAACTCCCTATATAGCCAAGCCATTAAACCTGTAATTCTATAGTGATAAGCACCATAGAAAAGCCCATGGGGAAATGGTTCTATTGTCAGAGTCAAGTTTGAATAATGCACAGTAAACACAGCCTACAAAGAGCAACAAGATTAACACAAAATACTGAACAGAGATTGATTAGATCAGTACAATTCCTCCTGTGTACTATGAGACAGGGGTCCTGTAGAAAAGAACCCCAGTATGTGATTATGTAATTAAAAACTGAGTCATAATGCACACACTCACATACACAAAGAGGACAAATTAAGGTTGCATGAAAAACTAAAAATCCTAATTTTTAGGGCTTGAATTTTCACTTTAAATGGTTTTTTTTTGCATAAAACAAATAAAATGCAAATAAAAACAAATTTAAGTATGTTCAACTTTACCAGCCTCTCATTAGCAGTGTTCAATCCCTGAATCTCAAATACAGAAGAGAAAAAAAAAAAAAAAAAAAAAAAAAAAAAAGACTACCACCACTTGTGCTACAGGACTAAAAACATAACTGACCACTGCAGAAGTCTGTTAACCCAGAATAGGGAGTGGACCCCTGCATTTACAGGGTTATGCCGTTCAGCCTGGCACTGCTTTCCTCCCTAACCAGTGAGCACTGAGGAAGATCTGGCCCTACGTGGTGCCTCTGTGTTAAGAGTGGGGAGGAAGATAGGTTGCTAGATCCAGGTGCTGGGTTTAAGGGTGGTCTGTGGTGAGGGCAGGAAACTTGACAAAGCTCTCCTTCCACTCCCTGCTGGGAAGGTGTGGGCTTCTTCCCTACGTGATGTCCTCAAGAGGCCTGGGCCATGTGCTGTACACAGACCAGATTTCTTTCCTGCCCCATCTCATAGCTGCTCTAGTACAGTTTTCTTTTGACACTTTTTGGCATCATCCCAACTTTGGAAGGCTACCAAAATTTTCCTCGGGTATGTGAACAAAAGAAGAAAAATTACAATTTTATATCATTTCTAGTTTCAAGAGCATGAGCGAAGTTTCATGGAAAAAAGAAAAGGCACTTTCCACAGCCTGCCAGGTCTGTTGCAAAATAATGGAGGTGTGAAAGGTTCTCCAAAAACAGGTTGCAAGAATATATATACTTATTTATTTTAGCCTGTCTGCATCTGAGAGTCCATTTGTTCAAGAACTCCCCCTAAACTATAAGAGCTAGGACCACCAAATTTATTAGGCAGATTTCTCTTACCCTAACTTAAACCACAGTCATGATTTGATTGTGCCTGGAAAATGGGAAGTGCTGGGAATCGGACTTTTTTCTATAATATAGAAAGGGAGGTGGCAAAGAGGAGGAATGCTAAAGGGAAGGGGCAGAGAGCAGAGGGATGTGATACTGAGAGTAGCCACTGGAGACAGCTGCAACACCAACAGTGGCCAGCAGGGCTGGGGCTCAGCCAGCTTGCCTGCCAGTACATCAGTAGGGAGTCTCCCACCCCAAACTTGGAATGATCCCCTTCCCTGTGGAGAGCCTTCAGGCCATGGAAGGGTGTGGGCCCGCCCCCAGAGCCTGGGCCCCCTCCCAGACAGCCTGCAGGGTGTGAGGGAGGGCAGCTGAAGTTTGGGATCAGCCTGCAGAGTGCTGCTTCCCCCCCGGCCCCACAACAGGATGGGGAGCACTGCCACAGCCCCCTGAAGGAGCTGCTGGCCAGGAAGCACTGCAACAGCCCCCCTTGGAGGAGTTGCCACCAGAGCAGCGCCACCTTTGCTGCCATGGGTGGCCCTGATAAGCCCCTTCCCACTAGCCCCATCTTGAGTCCTGCACCTTCTACCTGCCTTGACTTCTGCACCCCCACCTCTTTCACCATGAGCCCCCTCTCATTCTCCTGCCCTGAGGCCCCTATCCCCTGCCTTGAGCCCCCCTACACGTCCCAATCCTCTGCCCTAAAAGCTACCAATCCTTGCCCCCTCCTTATCCCCAAACCCTCAGTCCAGCCTTCATTTTTAAAAACTACAATCATTTAAATGAAAAGGGTACATTATTTATTTTCCAAAAACTAAAAAATTACTTCAGTTAAAGATCTAGGCAACACCAGGTACCTTTGCTAGTATTTAATAAAATTGAAGTGTTAAAAAAGGGTTGCTACATCAATATAACTAACCAAATATAATGCACTTATTTTAATAAAGCTTATACTTTAACCTTGTCAGAAGGAGAACGCACAACAGGTGATGTTTTATTATACTATAAGGTCCTTAAGAAGATTGCAGCATCCATTTAAATGCCTACAGGATCTGTTTCTGCAGCCAGAATTATTTTCCCAATTTTTTTCCATATTTTATAAATGTTTGATAGAATGTAAATAAGCAATTACAGGAAAAATATTAATTTAATACACATTTAAGAAGATATGAACACTGAGCTAATAATTTAAACATGTTATTGCACATACTTATAGATGTTTGGTAATGTGGAAGAAGACTTTGCCTCTTAACTACTGTAAGTCACTCATAACATAGGGCTGAGTTATTTGGGCCAGAATCTTTAGCTGGTATGAGGAATCTTAGTCCTCAGCATCTGAAGACAGAATGTACTTTGCAAACCTTCAATTACACATAAATGAATTAATTTACCAAGAGAACTAAGGTTATGTCGACACTACCATTTATGCAGCATTTATGCTCAGGGGTGTAAATAAATCACTGCCCGTCACAGGACACAAGTTACACTGACAAGTGCCAATATGGGAGAACATCATCTACCAGCATAACTTCTGCTGCTCACAGGAGCTGACACATATAAGTCAATGAAAGAACAGAGTGACTACATTAGAGATCTTAAAGTGACACAGCTGTGCTTCTAAAGTCTCTAATGTAGCCATGCCCTAGAGAGGCATGGGGGAGGGGAAGGTGCTGAGGTCAAGGGAAGAAGAGTTGGTACCTGTTGCCTTCGTTTTTCTTCTTCAACAGCAGCTTTGGCTTCAGCCTCTTTTATCTGTTCAAACACATACATGTCAGTTACCCATTATTTTGTTAGTTACTGATTATAATGTAACTTCTATTTTCATATTTCTCACAGGATCATTTTGGCTTTTCACAGAAAAAGACACATTAGAAAAATCTAAAACAAAGAAGTGTAAACTTCCTCCTAGGGGAATTTCTAATCCTATTTAAGTGGTTTGCTGTCTTTTAAATGATCAAATGAAAGACATTGTAATAGACTCTGGCAATGCGTGGTAAATAATTCACAACTATCATGATGCCCCCTCAAGTGAGTTCACTGATAAAGCAGAAGGCTCAAAACTTGAGGTGGGATTTTGTGAGTGTGTGTGTAAGTACAGGGGGGTCTGAATGGTCACCAATGAGACTGAAGAGCTAGGCAGCTGAACATCAGGATTCAGTTCTCAGGATGGCATGTGAAGCAAAGGATCAGCACCCTGGAGAGTGTGCCTAGACACCCGGAGATTGGGGCAGTGGCTGAACTCTGTTCAGGCCTGGAGGTTTAAAAAACCACTTGTGGATCCAGCGACCCTAGAGCAGGGGAGGGCAATAATTTGACGGGAGGCCACTCCAAGATTTTGGAAAGTGGTTGAGGACCACACTCTTCCATGATATTAATGGAGGAGATGTGGGATCTGGAATGGGGATTGGGTGCAGAAGGGAGACTGAAGTCTGGGAGGGAGTTGGGATGAAGCAGGTGGTTGTGACCTAGGGCAGGGGACTGGAGTGCAGGGGTATGGGATGTGACCTAGAGTAGGAGAAGATTGTGATCTGGGCATGAGATTAGGATGCCTGTTTTTGGAGGGGGAATGGATATAAGAGGGGGACAGAGGGCTTGCATATGTTGAGTGGGGGGCAGAGAGTTGGGGTAAGAAAGGGCTGGGGTGCCAGAAGCCCGCAGTGGCCAAGAGACTTACTTGTCAGCTGCCAAACTAGCCTGCCTGACTGCAGAGCTTAAACTGTTTCCCTGCCAGCCTGCCAGGCCATGAACAACTGAGCCTAGGAGAAGGGGCATGATTCTTCTTAGCTGCCTGTTATTCTAACAAGCAGCTCCCATTGGTTGGTTTCTTGCAGAAACCAGCCAATGAGAATGTGCTGGGAGCAGGGCGATTCCTAAAACTTCCTCCCTCCCCTCCAGTTTTAAAACAGAAATGGAGCTGTGCAGAAACCAGTGCAAGCTTGGAAGCCTGTTTGGGGCTCCCTGCTACTTCTGCGGGCCAAATCCGGCCCGCAGGCCGTATATTGTCCAGGCCTGCTCTAGAGGCTTAGATTCCCTTCCCAGCAGTATGGTGGGTAGCCAGCAGGGGCACTCAACCAGGTCTGACACATGCAACAGTCAGCACCTCTAAGTTCCTCAAAATATATGGAGTTTCCTGCTACATATATAATTCTGTAATTAAATTAAAATCTGGCTAATAACCTGAAAATAAGTGGTCTAGAGCCCAACATTAAACTTGAATAGATTATTTATGTGTACTCTGATAATTACAATGCGCTAAATCAAATGGTCATTCACATTGAAAATCCCTTCTCAAATAGCCCATAATCCAAGGAGAAATGCTAAAGACAAAGGGGAACTCAGAAATTCATACTATATATTAGGGATGTAAGCAACTAGTTGACTAATTGATAAGCATAAGCTTATTAGATAGTCAACTAGTCCCTGAACCAGTCCCTTCTCCCCTTACTTGCTGCCTCTATCAGACACTACGTCTACACTGCGTGTTTTTTTGCAGGAGATACGCAAATGGAGCGCTCCATTTGCGTATCTCATGCTCTCATTTGCATACCC